TTGGAGTTAGATGTAATTTTATCTGTTTATTCATGTTTTTGAGAAGGAAGCGAAAGGAGATGAATGGAAATAGATTTTAATGATATTGACTAATAAACAGATGAAATAAAAATACCATTTTTACAAATATATCTTTATTTATTTAACARTAAGTTGTAATTAACAGATTAATTTGTAAACATAAAATATTTGCACCAAGTAAAATTTTGCAATTATATTCCATATTTYTAATTTATATGTGTGTGTGGGGTTGGGTTCACGTGAATCCAATCTGTTTTCGTGAGACCATTTTTTTACACTTGAAACTTCATAGCAAAACGTTGTCAAGGTAAAAGAAAGTCGAACAATCACAACGAAAACACTGTAAATGTTACATTCAAAACATTTTGCTGTGAAGTTTCAAGTGTGAAAAAAATGGTTTCATGAGTCTCACGAAAACAGACTAATCTCACGTGATCTGAGTCCATATATGTGTGTATGTGTATGTGTGTGTGTGTGCGCGCTTTACTTTAAATATGGTATTGTATTTAATTAATTAAGTTTTTAATAAGTTTGAAAAAAAGTATGATTGGTAATATATATATATATATATATATATATATATAAAATAAAAATTAGGGAAAATTTGAAAAAAATCAATAAAATATTTGATTTTAAATGATTAAGTTTTTAAACTATTTTTTTAATAATAAAACCTTTAAACTTTTTAAAACTGGTAAAATACATTCTTTTAACGTGTAAAAACATGTTATAAAATTTTGGGAAAAGTCTAAATAAACCTAACAAACTATCTGATTTTAAATGATTAAGTTCCTATATTTTTAACAAATAAATTCCTAGATTTTTTCCTAAATCTTTTTACTAAATAAATTCTTGAATTTTTTTTTTGAACAAATAAAACCAAGAAGTTTTTTTTTTTTGGAGAAATGAAATTATATCTTGGAACAAAAGGATGAATACATACATACATACATACATACATACATACATACATACATACATATATAGAGGCCTAATCAAATGAGAACTGATTAGTTTGTGGTAACTGTGAGATCCAATCTCAACCACAAATCAACGGATAAATTAGAAAATTAATAGTTATGGTAGTTTGAGTTAAAATTATAATTAGAGGGCATATTAGATATTTTTTAAAAACTCCTCTCTCCTCTCTCCGGCCTCCGGTGAAATCGGTATCACAATATATCACAATGGGTATCACATTATGTATCTTTGTTTTTAAGGTTTGAGTTGGTATCATAGTTGGTATCACAATGGTATCACAGTATATCACAATGGGTATCACATTATGTATCTTTGTGATTATTTGGTACCTGCCGGATTAATGTTCACCGGAGGCCGGAGATTGGAGGTCGGAGAGATGAGAGAGGGGTTTTTTAAAAATACCTAAAATGCCCTCTAATTATAATTTTAACTCAAACTACCATAATTATTAATTTTCTAATTTACCCGTTGATTTGTGGTTGAGATTGGATCTCACAGTTACCACAAACTAATCAATTCTCCCTTCAACGGGCCCCTATATATATATATATATATATATATATATATATATAAAGTATCGACAACAAAGTATAATGAACCAATTAAATAGAGAAAAATTATACCATTTTCATTATTAATTCTGAAACATATAAAAGCCATGCCTAAAGCATAGATAGATACATACAAAAATATATATACATAAAAAAATAAGTTATGAACTTAATTAATGCTTTAAACATAACTTTTGTCTGCTTTGGAATTTAATAATGAAAATGGTATAATTTTTCTCTGTTTAATTGGTTCATGGTATTTTGTTGTAGATGAGAACGTGAGAAGAATTGTATATATTTTCTTTGTTGATGATTTTTTTTTAAAAAACGTTCCAGATTTATATGTTCAAAATTAAGTTCATGATTTTGTTTCTTCAAAAAAAAAATTGGGATTTCTTTGTTCAAAAAAAGTTCAAGAATTTATTTGGTAAAAAGATTTCGAAAAAAATTTAGAGATTTATTTAAAAAAATCAATGACTTAATCATTTAAAATCAKATAGTTTGTTGGGTTTGTTTAGACTTTTCCCAAATTTTCATCACATTAACATGTTTTTATAGTTTATAAGGATGTATTTAATCGGTTTTAGAAAGTTTAAGGATTTTATCATTCAAAAAAATAGCTTAAGAACCTAATACTTTTTAGAGAGTTTTTCTATTAGAGAATTTTATTTTTATATTCTTTTTCTTATTCTATCGATTTTAAATAAATCTTTTGGAACAACAAAAAAAACTGTAAGATCTTTATTTATTCTATTTTAGATTTTTTTTTTTTTGAAAGATGCTTTTACCAGGTAAAACTTTTTACCCAGTAAAAAATGACATTGTTTACCTATACTTTTGACAGACCGTGATGCTGAGAGAGTCATCCACCAATATGTCAGTAACTAAACTGTAATGTTAATAAAAGTTTCTACTTCATGGTTAATGCAGATATATTTACATAATTGTAATTAGATCATGGTTATATAATTTAATTAAAGGGCATTGAGGGTATGTTATAAAATTGAGCGTGTACAAGAGGAAAAGGTTACAGATTTAAATTGTGAGCATTTTATGCATACCACTGCAAACGTTTGAACACATTGTGAACATTTTCGTCATTAAAACCATTAAGCCATCAAAACTAAAGCTAAACCACCACTTATGAGCACGTTTGGAAGCTTTTGTGAACATTTTATTTGAACACCCAAAACAACATTAATAATAAGATTTTGAAATAAAAAAATGAAGATAGAGTTAGAGTGATGTGAAGCGGTTCTAGAAAAGGGGTTTAGATGGTGGTGTTCGGGAAACTTCAACCGTCGAAGATTCACATGTAACGTTCATGTTCTAGACGAGGGAGGGTTTGATCGAATAAATATATTATATATGTGTGTATATACATTATGTATACATATATGTGTATATATATAATATATACATACATATATATAGAGAGAGAGTAGAGATGGCCAAAAACCGGTCCCAGTGTCAATCGGTCCTAACATTTCTCATAACCGGTCCCGGTCGAAAATGATAGGATCGGTCAAGGTACTTCATAACCGGCTATGGGCCGTCGGTCCCGGTCCCGGTCCCAACCGGTCCTTGCATTAAAAAATAAGATTTATTTTTTATTTTTTTAATGATATATATTTTTAATACATTATAAAATTTATAATTGGGTCACTCAAATACACTTTAAAAATACGTTTTAATATAATTAAAATTACGTTTTCTTATAAAAATACATTATAAAATTATTTAAAAATACAATTATTAATAAAATTATTTGAATTTTCGGGCCGGGCCGAGCCGGTCCATAGTCGGTCCCATAACCGGTCCCGGTCCCAGTCCCACGAAACTACCAAAAACCTCAACCGGTCTCGATTTTCGGTTCAATAACCGGTCCTTACTAAAGATGGCCAAATGGGCCCGGCCCGGCCCGTAACCGACGGAGGACCGGGACCGGGACCGGTAGGGACCGGTTGAGGGACCGCCGGTTATGATCCGGTTAGGGTTTTTGACCTTTTTTGGGACCGGGACCGGTTATGTAACCGGTTATAGGCCCGGCCCGGCCCGTCCCGGTCAACGAAAGTCAACGAAACGTATATATATAATAAACCGTATTTTTATTGTGTATTTTTAAACATATTTACAACAAAACGTATTTATAAACGTATATATATATATATATAT